CCATCCACATCTCTGACGTGTCACCGCTTGTGTTAAAAAACAAAACCAACCAGGAATTTGAAGATCGAATTTGTTGTTGAGTGAGTCATTAGTCAGGCAGCATCTCATCTAGCAGAAAGAGGGAAGCTCCCAGAAGTTGTACAAATGTTCTCTTATTAGCAAAAGAAGAGAGAGCAATGGCTGAGGGAATGTCGCCGTCCCTTAATTGTGAAGATGAACTATACTTTTTGGTGTGCTGACTTTTAACGTGCAGACTCTAGACTAAAACAAATCTGCTGGAAACAATATTTACTCAAGTGGTGACCCTTGCTGGTGTTTGCCCTCTCACAATCTGGACTCAGTGTTTCTACCCGGATCTCAACATCCAACGGGGCCTGGCAAGTGGTAGGTGCCCAACGATTATCTCTGAATGATTGAATAATTCACTTCAGGCATCAAATCACTCTTAAGATTATGGACTTCTTCGACATAAAGATCTGTGAAGAATCAAAAAGTAGTGACTGTAATCTGACCTGATGAAATGAGAATCTTGCACATTTTCTTTTGGATGCAAGCCTATGCTAATAACCATGAAGTTCACACAGAGGGTCCTACGGCAAATCTACAATAAGAATCATGGGAATTTATAGTATGCGGAGTTCATAGAGTGTTCTGGAATCATGTATCCAGATTTCCTTCCTAATGTTCCTGCTAGAATGTTCCATGCTTGTCTTATCATGAGTTGGCCGTGCTGGACACGCTGACCTTCTACCTCCTTGGTGTTCTTAAGTGTTTAAAGGCTCTTAAGTATTTGTTTGTGCTTTATATCTTCCAGATAATGTGTTTGGGCTATTGGTCTTGTTATTTTTTGGTTGACCGGTAAGCAGAAATAACCTCGGGCTAATGAGAGACAGATAATATTGTTTGGAATGTTCAGATTGGAATACAGAAAGAAGAGCTCACTCCCACACTTAAGATTTTGAAAGGCTGGATAATCAAAATGGCTTCTCCTGAGTCCATCAGAGCAGAAGGATCAGAGCAACTTGTTAACGTAAATACCAGAGAAATACAGACTCATCAAAAAAATAGGGCATGCAAACCCTTGCTTACCTGGGACAGATGCCAGAGGTTCTGTAAGCCGGAAGGAATAATTCAGCTACAATTGCTAACAATTGACTGAAAGCAAGCAGAGTCCTGGGAGGTCCTGAGAGCCACAGACTCAGGAAATTCACTATACCTCCAGGATTTTGCCCACCAACCTCCCAGGGGTTCCAGATGGAATGGAGACCAGGATACGGACCAGAGAGCTGCTTTCTGGTGGTACAAGCCTGAGGTCTGACAGCAGCTCCCTCCTGAAAAAGGCTGGAAGGCTACTATTCCCCACACAGAAAGGAGCCTTCACTGGGTGTGGGAAGGGCAGGGAGCCCCACTACCTCAGGGCACAGTGAGCCACTCTGCAGCTGGGGGAGGGGCAGTGGGGGAAGGGACAGGAACACACCTTGTCCCAGACTAAGAGGCTCCATCTGCTGAGGCAAAGGGGGAACTCTCGGAAGGCCCAGTCCCCAAACTGAAACACAAAGCACCTGGCTGAGGATGGGACTGGACCAGAGCAGAGGTAGCGTCCCCCTCTCTGTGCCAAGCAGACCGGCCAGCAGGGAACCAAGGGCAGCTCCTGCTGCCTTGGTTGGGGAAACAAGACGATGAAGATACATGCCCTTGAGCCACATCCTATTTGAAAAAGAAAATCTCAGACCCAAAAGAATGTCATAAACCGAGTTCCCACCCTGGGACTTCATACCCAATCGAACAAATTTCACAACCCCGGAAATGTAGTCTTACCCAGGCAGGCAGGAAAGTTTTCTTTCCATAGAGCAATGGGTCTGTCTCCTGGGTCCTCTCCAGCCCCCGATGATAAGACACGCACACTGTTCTTCACCCAAGAAAGCAGGTCTGACTCCTGGAAGGCTTCTCATTTGCTGCTAATTCCCTGGCCCCATGCTCCCTCTATAAAAGCCTTCATTTGTACAACCTCTCTGAGTGTCCACGTCTGTGCCAGATGGGGTGATGTGCGATTCATGGAACATTTAATAAAGCAATTATTGGTCAAGTTTATAAGGTGAAATTTTCTTATTTTAAGAGTTCTCAAGTTTACCTCTGGATGATTAAATATAGACATCAAAAAATAAATAAAATAAAAGCTTGGAGGACAATATTATTCATTATGTCTTAAATATCTGGGCACAAGCTGCTTCTCATGTTTTGAAATGAGTCTCAGAGAATATGTTTACCATACAAACAGGAAAAGCTGCGGAAGTCATGAAGGAAGGAAGGAAGGAAGGAAGGAAGGAAGGAAGGAAGGAAGGAAGGAAGGGAGGGAGGAAGAGAGAGAGGGAGGAAGGGAGACAGGAAGGAAGGGAGGGAGGAAGGAAGGGAGGATCAGAGGGAGGGAGAAAAGGAAAGAGGGAGGAAGGGAGGAAGAAGGGAAGGAAGGAAAAAATGAAAATATTGTGTGTGCAGGAAATCCATGGAAAATTTCCTGCACTTTGAGGATTTCACTGCCATTGTCACATTTCCTGGTTCATGGAGGTTGTGCAGCCTGTCTGTCATCTGTAGGAAAACCGTAGAGTGAATTTTTACCAGTCACTTACTCAGCAGCAGAACCAGCAATGCATTCCTGACCAGTGGTTTGTTAGAAAGCCATGACAACACCCAGGATGGGGCCTCACCCAGATGTCAGGATTACCAAGCAAGACAGGGTAAGAGTATGACAAATATGGACACATGAAGAAAAAGATAAGCAGGCAAGAAAAGGAATATTTATAAGAACTCAGGGAGAGGAAGAGAGAAGTGAGGAAAAACATTGCAAGAAAAAGAGACATTAGCCCAACCTCCCCATGGACCACATCCACATCCATCAGAGAAGAGTGTCCAGTCACAAAAGACAGAAATCCACCCTGTAGAGCTGAAGACATACTGGGAATATATCAGCTGATGAAACTGAGAAGCCCAGGGTTGTTGGGGCTCCAGTCCCTTCTGTGGGTCTGTGTGTCTACCTTCAGTTTCCTGATGTTTTGGTTTCATTGTGGCTGCTCTTTCTGGCTTCAATGAAGTATGATCACAAACGAAAATTGGGGGGGGGGGGGTGGCGCTTGGGAGGCTCAGTTTGTTAAGTGCCTGATCTCAGCTCAGGTCATGATCTCACCATCCATGAGTTTGAGCCTTGTGTCCGACTCTGTACTGACACCTCAGAGCCTGTACTCTATCTCGGATTCTATCTCCCTCTCTCTCTGGTCCTCCCCACTCAAACTCTGTCTCTCTCTCTCTCGCTCTCAAAAATAAATGAAAAATATTAAAAAACGTTTTAAATGAAAATTGTACCTTTGTACAGCACGCGGCTTCCTGACCAGCCAGGGAGGAAACCTGGGAGGCACGATGGGCCGCGTGGACCACCGCCGGCACTAACAGGAGCAGCAGAGACTACGATGTAACATGAACAAAGGTCCTCCTGATGAACGTCTTCCAACAACTTCTCAGAGACGAGGCCTGAAGAACTTCGGGAGCCCAGTGCACACGGGGCGTGTCGGGAGCTGGATACGAATGCCTCCGTGCTTAGCTGCAGAGCCTCCGGTGTGCCATGCAGCATTTGTTAGGAAAATGAAGAATTGGTCAAGAAAGCTTGCATTCAAGCAAACCATGAAAATCGATATTTTATGTAGCATTCCTCCCACATTTGAATACTTTTCATTGTTGAGCAATAAACTCTGTTCTCTCTAAAGAGCATAAAATGAAGTACACGCTTGATGTGTGGTGTGTGTGTCCGTGGTGACACGAAGCCCACAAGCACAGTAGGCAACACAGCCACCAGCTCCCATCTGGATGCTCTCCTTTCTCTTTCTTTTCTTTTCTTCTCATTCTTGCCATGAGAACGCTTCGGATCCACTCTCTTGGAAAAGGTCACGTGCACAACTTCTCCCCCTTCTTGCATGAAGGTGTCATCCTCAGCCTTGCCTCCCTGATGCTGAAAAACGGGTTGTAGTTGTTTCAGGCTTCAGACCCCAGCCTTATTATCCAGGACAAGAGACACCGTCTCTTTCCCTGCCATTGACCACAAGAGTCATAATGCCTGTGACCTGAGCCACCTGGAGCAGGCGTCTAGCCCTGAACCATCACTCTGACCAAGGACAAGTAGCTTCTGTCTTGGCCTGAACTTGATGTAACCTGCCCATCCGTCATCCTGTCACATTGTCAAGGATACTTTCTCCTGAGAGACTCAAGGTGATCGGAGCCCAGGGCTACACCTGGGGGTGGACTCAACCAACCAAACACCGCATGGTGGCCATGCAAGGGTGACAAGGTGGACTGGACCCTAGAGAACCAGTCAACAAGTCTAATTTAGGAGAGAAGTTTGGGGAAGTCCCATAATTTGCTCTCCCTTTCCCAATAATTTTCACCTTTGCCACCTCTCCCATCCTCAATGTTATTTTCCGTGAACGTCCACATGTGCAAATGTCTCAACTACTACAAACATGTCACGATGCAAAAGAAAAAGAAAAACCTATGATATTGACAAAACCGCAACACAGATTTTATTGAGGACATATTCCATTCAGGGGAGATTCCTTGCCAAGGTTACAAATATTAAAAAGACATGGACCTCATCTCTAAAGTCCTAAGAATTAGAAGGGAAAGGACCCTAACTGTTGGTAACAAGGGCTGGGAGTCAGGAATAGATTTGCAAGTGCAGGAAAACGTAGGGCTAATTCCCGCCAAGCAAAAACTTCTTTGACTTGTGAAGAAGGGACGGCTCACTGCAGGAAGTGACGCCTGATGCCAGTGGCTCATGGAGGTTTGTGGGACTTCATTTTACTCTAAGATACTTTTGATGTTTAAGCCCCAGAATCAGGTCAGAGCAACAAATTCTGCTAAATTACACTTAACTCGTCTTGACAACTGATCACTGAGCAGAAAGAAAAGACAAAAGCTGCACACAGAGACTTGCAAGTCCATCATCTGAGCTGGGTTTAGGGACGTCCTGGTCCTGGGCTGCTGGGATCTCTCTCCAAAGGGAGGCCAGTGCACTGAGGTCTCCAGTGTGATTTCCTGGGAGGAACAGATTGGAAATGCTCTGCAGCAGGTGGAGGTGAGGACTCCAGGGGAAAGGGCATGGTGAGGAGGAGGGCTGAGGACAGACAGAAAGGTGGGGACACAGTTGGGAAAGAGCAGAAACATGGTTCCAGACTTACCAGCACTTCCAGAGCCAGAATGCAAGACCTGCCAGAAGCACCAGGGGCACGACCACCGCCAGGAAGACCAAGCCCACGGGGCGGTGCTGCTCTGTGGGTTCGGTGCACAGAGGGTGTCAATTCCCATCCACCCCGGGTTGACCTGCACCTTCCTGGTCCCTTTTGCTCCCGTCACCCTCTGTCTCACCAACCACCCTTCCTCTTTCTCTTTTCCCATCCCTGTTCAGTGATGGACTTCACCCAACCCTTTACTTCCTCCCACATCCATAGGACCCTCACCCTCAGCTCTCCATTTCTTGGGTTCTTACATTTCTGTCCTTTATGGTCTGGAGTCCCTAGAATCCCAAATGTTTCATCTCACTCTCCTGCTCTGCTTCAGGACCACCCACCCCTTTTCCCAGCTAGACCCCTACCCTTTCTCACCCCGGTAGAGGACCATGTCCTGGCCTCCTAGACTGCTGTGTCTCACTCGGCAAGACAGGCCAGATGCCTCTCTGGCTTCCACGTCCAAGGACGTCTGAAGATACCATGTCCCGTCAGCATGGGGCAAGACGTCGCCTCGTCGGGTGCCCTGGTGGTCCTGGTCACCCCGCATCCACGTCACCCACACTGGCTTTGGGTAGAAACCAGAGACGTGGCACACGAGGAGCAGACGACCAGGACTGGGACTGGGGCCAGTGGACAGCCAGGCTTCTGGCCTCACTGCAGAGACAGGACAGGAATTCTCAGACTGAGAAGGTAGATTTCACATCGCTTTAGATACACACATCTTTCCACCTCTAGAAACCTATCACCATCATCACCTCTCTCCCCTGCCTCCTTCTCCCCTGAATTTGAGGAAATGGTGCAAATTTATGAGTGCATATTGAGAATTCTTGGAAAGAGGAAGCAGGACTGACCTTGTCGCTGAAGATCTTCCT